TTTTTCTTTTTTTTTTTTTTTTTTTTTCGAAGGACGTCGTTCATTTCAATTTTTCTTATTTTGCGAAGCGGAAAAAACCTTTTTTTTAAATGATTTTCCTTGAATTTGTTTCCGCAAAACGACAAGTTATAATTTTGCATCATACTGGAGAAGCGAACTCGCGGTTTTGTTTGGAAATTTGCGCATAAGCGTTTTGATCTGTGGGTGCTTTGAATTCAATGGAGCTTTTCAATACTTTTTTAATAACATTTTTGAACAACCCTGAATTGGTCAAACGAGAGCAAAGTTTATTTTCTTGTCAATCGTTGAGGTCCTTGGAATTTTTCATTTTATTCTGAGAAGATACAGTGAACGCTTGAGCTGATGTGAGGCATGCGCCGTAATTTTTGAGACGCAAGTTTCAAGTAAAATCAATGTGCGGAAGACGTGAACTTCAGTTTTCTGTGACACGACGATCAATTTATTTTAGAAAATGAAAATTTAAATTTAAACTGAGCAAATTTGTATGCAACTGCGCTGAATTAGTTCGTGTTTCACGTTTTCATCTGCCTGTTTGATTTGAATCTCAAGATATAATTTTCACGCATTCTAGCCTTTAAAATTGTATTTCACGAAACTTCACTACATGTGTATGACGCGCAAGAATATTTTTTTGAATTTGCAAAAAAAAAAAGAGTATGAATAGCACTCCACTTCTTTAGCTTAATTTTTTAGGCGAAAAATATTTCTCGAGTTCATACGAGTAATTCAACAGGCATTTGATTCCATTGTACCTTGATGTAGCTCTCAGTAAAAAAAAAGAGAAAAAAAATCGCGATGTCCCCTTTAAAGTACTATACAAGAATTAGCTAATGTACAGGAGAAATTTCGGAGGTTTTTTCCTTCTAGCCTACGTAAATGGAAAAGTGTCTTTTTTCCCCGTGCTTTCGAAATTCACGCTGAACTCGATTCTTTATTTTCTATCATTCAAGTCCAGAAATTTACTTGCTCAAAAAAAAAAAATTGAAAAATCTGGGGATATTACGGAATCAGTAATGGAGATGGAGACGGAACTTCTGATGCATTTTGAAGATGACGTGAGATGCACTTATGAGTTCTAGTTCAACAACGCAGCATTTCATTTTTAAAAATTGAAAAATCTGGGGATATTACGGAATCAGTAATGGAGATGGAGACGGAACTTCTGATGCATTTTGAAGATGACGTGAGATGCACTTATGAGTTCTAGTTCAACAACGCAGCATTTCATTTTTCCTTTTGTTCGTTTTTCTCATTTTTATGCTTGTCGAGTGTCATCAAAATATATTACATTATTGTATTAGCATCTCCATGGAAGCCTTGACGCAGAATGGAATTCTGCTCGACCCATAAGATTCAGTATCATTTAGTTAGTGGATCAAAGACCTGTTTACTCTCCTTACATCACCCACTTCGACTGAAACCCTTGTTCATACAAATGCTCCTCAAGCAAAAATGTCCATCTTTTACTTTTGCATGAACTCAATTTTTGTTAGCACTCGTACGTGCAAGTATGAACATCATGTTGAGATTTGTTCATAAAAAAAATCTTTTATGCCTTTCAAAAACTCCTCTTTGAAAAATGTTACTCCACTTTCGTACTCATTAAAAGGAACGTTTTATTTTTCAAAACTACGGTAAAAAGTATTTCTATGGCTTCGTTTGAAAATGAAATTTCAAACAGGTGTCGCCGGAGTCACTAACATGATCATGTGCAGTAATTCAATTACAACTGCAGTATTACACCGTGTTCCGTGTATCCAAGCTTATATAACCTAACCTCACATGCTCTTATGTCTGACTAAGTACAGTTGAACCTTGATAACCTGAACCTCCTCAAGTCAAAAACCTCCCGAAGTATTTTTTTCCCCAAGTCCCTGTCAGAATTCCATTGAAAACAATGCATTGAATTTATAAAAACCACCTTACCACAAAGGCTTTCCTTCTCAAATCTCCATCACTCGAATTTGGCCTTTTGGCAATTATTTTATTGATACAGGAAAGGCAGAAGCAATAAAACTGTAACGTGATGTGTTTTGAAAGGACATGAAAGATTAATTGCTGGTCAAATAAACCCTTGACTCCAAGTTTCGCATCCTGTCAGGCTGTCAACTCATTTAAGAAGCGATTTTAGGCCCAAAATACTACCAATTACAATTTCCTGTATTTCTTCTTTCCCCCAAAATGCTTGTTTCCTTGACTCGAATTTTGTTGCTGGTCCCTTGAAGTTCAATTCAAAGAGGTTCGAGTGTACAACACCATGTAAGCGAAATTTGCGAAGAAATTAATGAGTTCGAATACCTTCTTGGATGTCGGTCAATAGTATGCGAAAATGCGTCGTCTTTTCTCGATTTTTGTGTTGTTTTGGACTTGGCCTGAAGTGAGAAACTATAGTGAGACACCTAAATGCGGACACCTCGAACTGCGGACAATTCGACATAGGGACACTTATTTTCCCATAAAAATTAATAAAAAAGGCCCAACATGAGGACACTGAATCAACATAAGGACATTTTGTGATAAAATTGCAAATACACTTCAGGCCAAATTAAAAGAAGCAGATACAGTATTTTCAACCCTAAAATTGATGTGAGAAAAGTTCTTGGGCATTTCTCTCACCAATTTACCATCCATTTAGATGATTTTAAAAAATTACCTCCAGCATAGAAGGACTTCCTTCTCTAATTTTCACTTGAATGTTATTTTTTTTACAGACAATGCCTTTGTACAGAGGTATCAGTATTCAATTCCCCAAATGCTCATATTGTGTTCAAATATACTGTATTGATTGGAATCAGTTTAAATTGGGAGAACATTTTTTATTTTCATGGAATTATGGAGAGTATTTTGTACAGAAAACACCAATTAAAAATTATATAATGTAAGTCTAAGGGAAAATGAGACTCGACTTAGGGACACTCCTGATGCACTAATTACGTCCGCATCTCGGGGTCTCACTATGCGATAGTTTTAACAGCCATCGGACAAGCTAATGCCGATCGAACGGCTTCCAGATGATCTTGAATCATTATAATTTTAAATTTGCGGTAATTCAAAACGTAGATGATGAGGGTCAATTGTATATTTCGAAGAGAAATCCCTCTTTTCATCTTGGTTCCCATCGAAAATTGTTCAGAAAATGAAATAAATTTGCCTGTGTTTCTCTTCTCTCTTTTTTTTTTACTTCCAATTGCAACCTGACGCTCCGCCACGACACTGCATAACGCACTGTTACTGCGTTACGGGCGGCGGCCTTTCACACGGCTGCTTTCTCAGCCTGTTCCGCTCCATAAGAGGCCAGCCGCCGTATCTTCCGGCTGACGTGTCACTCGGTGACCTGGCCCGGAAGTCGGGTCAGCTGGAAGCCGTCGCGAGTGCGTTATGGCGGAATGGAGCGGAAATTGTGCGGAGAACCCGGGAAGCGAGGTGCGCTTGAAATTATTACTTCCTTTGATTCTTTTCTTTTTTTTCTTTTTTGCTGCTTGGATATATTCTTGGGAATTTTTGTCGTTTCTTTCTATAAGTTGTACCATTTTCAGCAGGAGCCTTTTTTGGTGTATGTCATTTGTACTGTAATTCCCCAACTTCGCTTTCTGCGAATGTCGGGCATTGGGTATAGGTGTTACCCAAACGGGGTTGATTTTCATCACCCCGCAACTGGGGTGTGATTTTTGTTTTTGCTGTCAACTGGAGGATTTAAAATGTGAATTGATCCTGATTCCACGAGGCTCTCCGTAATCAAGAATGTATCTCGTCAAATTTGTTTGAAGTTTGGTTGGTTCGAGTTGACCCAGTTCTACGCGTGATTGAATATTTCTGATGTTCGTGAAAAGGAAAAAAATTCAATAATTTTCTTTGTGATGTTGTAGGAATCCCATATGTTTTTCAAATGTTAAAGGCGTTTTAACCGTAAACTGCATGAAGAGAAGGGAAAGCTCTCTACCTTCAACCATTTTTTCTAATTCATTTTATATTATGCTGTCAAAATTACTGTAATTTTTCTTCTCACGTCTTGTATCATATTCACATTTTTGAATAATTTTCTCTCTTATAACAAAGGTATAAAACGCGATACTTCTCGGTTGCAGTAGCATGGTCGTTTTCTTTTCAAGTTTTCTTTCAATTTTCACAATAAGGAAACAATATTTTCTGAACGATAACAATTTTAATTTCATAAAAAATCTTAGCTCTACTCAAAATGGATGAAAATCTCTGGTCGTAACGGAAGAGTTTTCACTTCCCATCGTGCTGCATTTTGAAAAATGTCTTGAAATCTGCACAAAATGCAGATTCCTGAAACACCATGAGAAAATTTTAGAATTTTTTTTTTCACAATTTTCTCACGGTACAAATCCAGTGAAACATCGTTACAACGAAACTGTTGGAACCGGGACAAAGCTTCGTTATAAAAATATATTCGTTTTGAGTTAAATGAATAAAATTACTGTACTGCATTGCTATCGGGCAGGGACCTGAAAACGACTTCGTTGTGACCAATAATTTGTTAATAATTAGATTACGTCAGAGATTCTTTCGTGTTTAGTCCTGCGCGGAATTGGGAAACCGCTGCGTTTAAAGTAAGTAAAATAAAAACGTAAGAGGTTGAGCCTTAAATAAAACTTCTATTATTTTTTCTTCCCAGAAGGCATGCAACCTTTTACAGTCCTTAGCTATACTTAAGAGTTAAAACAAAAAGTTTTTTTCCTCATCATCATCATCAGGAGCCTTGAGGCCGTGTTATTGGATCGACACTTGCGAGTCCTGCTGTCGGCATTGACGTCCGCTTGCAAGCTCCCCGACGTCAGCGACAATTACGCCCTCGAAACGGATGTGTGGACCCGGTTCGCCGCATGCCCTTTGTTCCAAGCAGGTGGTGAAGCCGTCGTGAGGCAGCAGCAGCAGCAGCAGATTCCCTGTCAGGATTTACCGGAAGTCTTGGCTTCAATATCGTCGGCGTCATCGACACTCGTGACTGTTGCGGAACTGTGTCCGGACGAGGCGGATGTCCAACTTGGACGAGTCTGGGTCTCTGCGGCCCTGCTGCAAATTCACGTGGCGTTCCCGCTCGGAGTCGTTGACCCGGTGGTGAAGAAGCGGATCAAGGCGGAATATCGACGCTTGCAGGTCTTGCTCTTGTTTCCTGTTCGTTTGTTTGTTTGAGTGTGTATAGGAGGATGAGGATGAGGATGAGGAGGAAAGACGACGATGATGATGATGATGGGATCCTTTTATGGGTGGGTCGGTCGTCGTCAGTTGATCCCCCTCTTTTGGTTCCGCTTTTATATTCGTCGTCGTCGTCTGCAGCTTTAGGAATAAGGCAGGAGAGGCATCATCTCGTTCAAGCCGTCTATTTTGGTTCCTCGAAAGCTCTCGATTATGTTCTCATGTTGCTCCGCTTTCATCCGTTCGTCATTTCCTTGTCTCGCCCGTTCTCTCCGGGAATGCGTCCTCCTCCGTAATGAGGATTTAACAAAGGAGTTGATATTGTGTCAGTTGATCCGCTCTTGTGATTCCTTTACCGTATTTTGTCAGTTAAATTGCGCAGAAGCGGGTCGTATTTTCCCTATGAGGATTAGGAAAAACCGACGTGCATTATCGGCGAGCTATTTTTTGATGGTCAAAATTGAGTATTTCAGGTTGTATACAGCAGAATTTACATGCCCTCTCTTTTCTTTCAGTAATCGTTTGTACGAAAATTTTCCAGTTTGTCCCCATTTATCGAAATTTATTATCCGTTCCTGGAGGCGTTTTTTTCGCAAATTTCATTCATTTTATTTTTGCATTCTCCAACTCGGAATTTATTTTGAAGATAATAAAAAAGAAGGGTCTTCCGTACGTTGGAAAATGTCAGGAATCGATATGAATTCTCAATTTTGTTTTTTTCCTCATCATCATCATCAGGAGCCTTGAGGCCGTGTTATTGGATCGACACTTGCGAGTCTTGCTGTCGGCATTGACGTCCGCTTGCAAGCTCCCCGACGTCAGCGACAATTACGCCCTCGAAACGGATGTGTGGACCCGGTTCGCCGCATTCCCTTTGTTCCAAGCAGGTGGTGAAGCCGTCGTGAGGCAGCAGCAGCAGATTCCCTGCCAGGATTTACCGGAAGTCTTGGCTTCAATATCGTCGGCGTCATCGACACTCGTGACTGTTGCGAAACTGTGTCCGGACGAGGCGGATGTCCAGCTTGGACGAGTCTGGGTCTCTGCGGCCCTCCTGCAAATTCACGTGGCGTTCCCGCTCGGAGTCGTTGACCCGGTGGTGAAGAAGCGGATCAAGGCGGAATATCGACGCTTGCAGGTCTTGCTCTTGTTTCCTGTTCGTTTGTTTGTTTGAGTGTATATAGGAGGATGAGGAGGAAAGACGATGATGATGGGATCCTTTTATGGGTGGGTCGGTCGTCGTCAGTTGATCCCCCCTCTTTTGGTTCAGCTTTTATATTCGTCGTCGTCGTCTGCAGCTTTAGGAATAAGGCAGGAGAAGCATCATCTCGTTCAAGCCGTCTATTTTGGTTCCTCGAAAGCTCTCGATTATGTCCTCGTGTTGTTCCGCTTTCATTCGTTCGTCATTTCCTTGTCTTGCCCGTTCTCTCCGGGAATGCGTCCTCCTCCGTAATGAGAATTTGACAAAGGAGTTGATATTGTGTCAGTTGATCCGCACTTGTGATTCCTTTACCGTATTTTGTCAGTTAAACTGCGCAGAAGCGGGTCGTATTTTCCCTATGAGGATTAGGACAAATCGACGTGCATTATCGGCGAGCTATTTTTTGGTCAAAATTAAGTATTTCAGGTTGTATACAGCAGAATTTACATGCCCTCTCTTTTCTTTCAGTAATCGTTTGTACGAAAATTTTCCAGTTTGTCCCCATTTATCGAAATTTATTATCCGTTCCTGGAGGCGTTTTTTTTAAGTGGAATTGTCTTGATGCGAAACGCGATTGCCGCGAAGTTTACGTTATAAATTAATTAATGCGTTCCAGAAACTTTAAAAAGCTCATGTACTAAACCTTGAAAACTGCGTATTATTCTCAAGTTTCAACATAAATTTGTGAATTTGAAATGGATTAATTTTGAACTTGAGTAATCCTGACAAGTTTCTAAATTTCACAAATTTTAAAAAACGGGTGAAGCAAAACTGTGCACGTCTTTTATAATTTTCGTCAATTTTTTTGTAAAAAATGTTGAACTTATAGCCGAAAACTTGCAAAATTACAGTGTTCTCCAGCCAAAAAGTGTCGAGTAAAACAATTTCGTTATGTCAGTCACGTTTTGCCCCCGATAAATTTTGTAATGCGGCTTGTCCGTTGTGAGTCTTTGATAATGCGAGACTCGCTCCATTTCTTTTATGATGACTGAATAACGCATTTGTTAGCTTGGAAGAATGGTGGGAAAAAAATATCGAGTTAGAAAATTCAATGGAGACCAGCTTATCTGAGTAAATTGTTGGCGTCGCACAAAAAATACAATATTTGAATTAAATTTGACTGAGATATTATGTTACGTATGCGAATTGGTAATTTTTCGTCAGATGCGTGATTCAGGCGACATCTTTCGGACATTCCTGTTGAAAAAGGTCGGACGTTGAAGTTGTGGAAAGAACGGGTTTTTTTGAAGGGTTTATTTCGCTTTCTTTCAAAATAATCGAGCGACCATTTTTTTTTTTTAGGTCGAAGAAGCGGAAAAGGAGCTGGAAATTCATCGCTGGCTTGCGAATGCAACGTCTGGTGTTCGTTTGGATCCGTCTGAGAAAAATGCCCACCCGGTGCTGCGAAGATTGCATGGAATCGTTTCTCGCCTTTCCGCTGCTCCTTGTCCCGCATTACGGCCAGAAGACGTCGACTTTGTCACTCTGTCGAAGGTTTGATTTTTTTGTACGGTGTCTCTCGTTTCTGTTCGTTGTTGTGAACGAAACTTTTTTTTTCTCTTCTTTTCAGTGGATCGAATCGTATGTTCAGACGATTGCAGCGGTGAGCACCGTGAAGGACATGTTGCAGAAAGCCATGAAACTGCATCAAGACGCGAAGGCCATGATTGAAAGGAAAAATGTCAAAAAGAAGGATGTGGAAGCATTTTCTAAACACGTTGCTATTTTCGAACGGCAATTCTCGTCGTGGAAAAGGTCACAGATGTCATTCGCTGACAGCTTGGTGGATTCGTATGCGTGGTTTCCCGACATCGCTTTCGTGTTTCATCACGCTGCTTTGCAGGTTGGTTTTTTTTTTTTTACTTGCCAAAAACGTGGAGATTAATAGTTCATCCAGTCATTTTTGCCAAGCATAAACGTGTTCACGCTGTGCAAAGTGGTGAAGTTTCTTTTATGTGTGGATGATTTTTCGAGAAAGCTGAAGTAAACTTATTATTACGAAGTGTTGCTATTATACCTGTTTAAAACAGATCTTTCTTAATTTTTCCGTAAGACAGAGTATTTGTGAACTTGAAATGAATTTATGAGAAATATTTGCATCGTGATACGAGAATCTGCTGCCGTGATTTCTATAATCGTATGAGGAGACAATATTCGGCTGTTGATTTAAGCAGAGAAGATGCGCCGAGAACAGTAGTCCTTTCGGGAAATTCAAGTTCTTCATTTGATTGGTCTGTAAATTCGATGATACGGTTTATTTTGTCGGAAGTTTCTGACGCGGTAAAATTGTGTTGGTGTCAATCGGCTCAATCCCCACTAGAAGACGCCCCTCGGAAAGCGACCGCCCTCATCGGCAACTGCCTATTTATTTTATTTAAAATAGTCTTTCTTATTGACAATTGCATTGGAAAGCCCTTTAAAATGCCATCCCCCAAAAATTATTGACAACTTAAATATGCTCCTACCAATCAATTTTGTCTTCGGAAGCCCGCCAACAAGATTCAAATTTTCTGTGAGAGATCTCAAATTTAAAATAAAAAACGCGAAGATAACCTAATTTACTCAAGAACATTAGCTAGATATAATTTCTGCATCCCAGGGTTATTTTGATAGTTTTCCAGGAGAATGCGAATTTTATTTCCTATCGTACTTGATTTTCGAATGATTATTATTTTTTTATGAACCATCAACCTCCCTTAAACCACTAAAAACCCCTCCCGTTCCCCTTACATTGAACCACAAATCTTTTTTTTTTCATGAAAAAGAAGAGAAAAAGACGGGAAACGAATGGGTTTCCAGGAATCGTTTTCAAAGACTCTTTCTAAGTTGATGATTATCTATGATGATTTTCTTTTTTTCGTAGCTCGTTCGCGGAATGGAGCTGATGTTGGACGGTGTCCGGAGTGTGCATTCAAGCTGCAGACTGGGCCCAGGCGCACCTAACGATGCATTGTGGGCCAGCATGGGCCTAGGCGGGCCATTGAGTGTTCAGGGCGAATCACCGGTGGGATCAATTGAGTGCTTAACGAAGGCCGTGGCCGTATTTGGACGGAATGCTGCTGACGACGACGTTGGCCATGACGTCGACAATCAGTGGATGCCCAGTTACGTCAAGTCCTGGTTAGTATATTTCGGAGGCCTCTGATCTACACGGAGCAGTGTCGAAAAATGAGTGAATCTACGCATTGCTTTTCCGTTTTCGTGGAATCTATCAAATCTGCGCCGTAGCATTTATCCTATGGATTATTCCAAGTCCCTGATTTTATGTAGAAACAATATTTTAATGTGGATTTAGCTTTTTTTTTGCCGTTATTCTATGTGCGTAAAAGTCTCCATTAATTTTTCAGACCTGCCAAAAATTCTAGACCGGTTTTAAAAAAGATTGCGCTACTGTACAGTAAAAATGTAATAGGAATGCCAATGCGCACTTCATGACCCATGCAAAAAAAAAACTTGGCCTCAGCTTTTTGCCGTAAAAACTCAAAATAATTGTGTTGACGGAGCGATTTCCATGGAAAAATTTGTGGAGCTTAAATTATCAGTTCACGACAATTAAAGAAAAATATAAAAGGAATTGGCGAGGAGAAAGTGAAATACCGTGGGGTTCCGAGATGCAGGCGTAATTGGTGCTTGGACCTTGTCCCTATGTCGAAACGTCCGCATGTCGGATGACGTTTTCCCATAGACTTCAATGGGAACATATTCAGTTGGTTTTCCTGTTATCCAAAATTTAGGAAAAAGTCCCCCAAAAAATGAATAAACTATTTTTCTCAACTTCAAGATACAGAAAATAACTGTGCAGAAGGAAACCGCACAAAATCCGCTCTTTTTGCCTGAAAACGAGCCTAAGAAGCAACGAGTGAGCATAAGTATTATTCTACTCTGCACAGATCATGAAAAAAACTTTAAAAAAAGAAGCACAACATTAGCTTCTTATTTTATGAATCTGAGTAAATTATGAAAAATGCTGTTTGTGTATACCATGAGTATTGTAGCTCAATTTATTCAAGAGCTATGATTTTATTTCAAATTACCATTTTCGAATTTCCTGGGAAATTTTGCGCGCGTGTCCGTATCTCGAGACAGTGTCCGGATATCAGGGCAGATTCACTTCTGTTTCAAGCGTCCCTCGGTCGAATCGTCAGTATATCGAGGTGTCCGTAAGTCGGGGCTCCATTGCAAAAACTGCTTGTATGATGGAGTTTTCCCGGAAGACTTGAGCAACCGAAGACTTTATTCGCTTTTTAAAATTCTCTTGATTATTTGTGTTCGAAATGTCGTTGTCTTTCTTCATAAGTGCAAGATGAAATTTTCTTTCGGTGATAGGATTATATGGCTGAATTGCATATGGTGTCGCTTGAATTTTCAGCATGTTGAAGAGCTTCTTGAAGGAGTTGACGGTCAAGTTCCTGATTCTGCCGGACAATTCGAGGAAATGTGTCGAGGCCTTGCAGGATTTTGACGGAATTTGCAAAGCGTTTGTAAAGGACTGGCTGATCGAACAGGACCGACTGGAACGAGAAAAGACCGAGCGAGAAGCGTTGTTCCACTACAAGTAAATTCATTGATTTTTTTTTTCGAGTGTCAATTTCAAAATTGTGCTATGTTCGATTGAGTATTTCGTTTCACAATTCTGATCCATTTGACGCAGGACTCACGCCGAAGAAGAAAGCGAAGAGAAGCAAACGGAGAGGGAATTGAAGGAAATGTTTCCAGAGTTTGACGAGGATTTCGTAGACTTGCAAGCACCCAGTAACGAATTGGACGGGAAAAACACGACGACGGTCAAACAGGCGGATGATCTCACAGTGAGCCAAGAGAAACATTGGCCGCTTTGTTCGGAAGATGCGTTGCTTTTCCAGTCTCTGCATCGAGAAGTCTTCCAGTCTTTGACGTTTGCGTGGAAGCTGCCAAAGCAGACCGAAGCGAAAAATGGAATGATTGACCAGCTGTGGGAAGAAGCTCATGTCGAGAGGTTATTGTTACTTGATTTTCATTGAAGCATTATACCATTTTAAATCGTTTACTGGAAGTATTGCAGTGGAATCTCGTGTTTGAGACCTCGGGAAATCTTCGTTATTGAGGGAAAACTCGTTGAAAGCGAAATTAAAACAACATCTTCGCTAGATTGGACAGGGACGGAAAAAACGAATTCTTTGTGCATAACGAGATTTTACTGTATTTTATTGTGTACTTTTATCTTGTATTTGACGCAATTATAGATTGTAGTTCTTTGACTTTTTCAATGCTGTTTCATAAAACTGCAATCGAGCTGTGTTTTGTTTTCGGTAATGTGATTTTTCATTATTCGTGTTTCAATGATTCATCGCGCAGTTCGATGACGACAAGTGCGAGCATTTTAAATCGAAACAACGTGTTTTTGTATTGAACAATCTTTAAAATCCGCTACTCAGCATAGGTTTAGATTTGAAAAGTTGAAGCCATTCAAGATTATGCGAGTGAGAAGAAAAAATTTGAACATGGTGATGGGAGAAAAGCTTTTGCATAACGGAAATTTTTTCAGATCGTGCTTTGTACCTCTTATCCTGTGTTCATGGAAGAACTTCTATGATCCTGGAAAAGCATGAATATTGCACGAATTGGATGAAATGAATATTTTCATACATCACTGGTTCATTTAATTTTGAATATTTGTATCTTTTTTCTTAACCTATTTGTAGAATGAGAGCAGTCGGAGGATCGTTACCGAAATTGCATAGTCTGCTGAGGAACGAGACTGATGCTGAGATTATCGGTGCTATGGTGGTGAATGCTGCGATTCGACGAAGCCTGAACCCTTCGGAGACCGATGTTCTAAAGTCAGATTCACTGAACGAAAAGCCATACGATTTCTACCGGGATCCGAATATTTCGGAAGCAGTTAGAGTTTTGCCGGTTTTGGAGGCATTAGTGACTCGTGCCGATGTCCTACTCGAGGATTGGCCTGATCACGCGACTTTGAAACAAGTACAGTATTTCGAACTGAGTACTGTAGTTTTCTTGAATGCTTACTGTAGTTTCTTCGACACGGTCCTTTCGTCTGCAATGGTACAGATGTCGCGTGATTCCTTTTCATGAGTGAAATGATGAGCTCATACTGGGTCAGGCTAACATTGAGTTATTGCAGTTTTATTTGATTTGGATTTAATTTTCATGAAAAAATTAAATCAGGCTTATGCTGTAAAAAATTTCAAAATGAAGAATTTGGCATTAAAAATGAGTAAATCAAGTTTTACGGTTCATTCCATCTTCATAATTGAAACTGCCCGTGTTTTCCGACGTACATCGAATTTCTTTACCTGTGCGTGTCAACTGTTGTCAATTTTTGTAAGGCATTGTCATTCAAGACTGAGTTTCAATTGTGTATGCTGATCTTCCTTCTAGGTGAAGGAAGTATGTGGCAGGATAGAAAAATTCTCTGTGCGATCGCCGTTGGTCAGATTCGTGAAAGGATTGGAGATCATTTTGGGGGCAGCGCAGCATTGGGAAGAATTCGCTCATTCGAAAATTTCCTTGGGATCGGAATTAGAAGCAGTGACTCGACTCGTGATAAGATACAGAAAACTAGAACTGGACTCTTGGAAACGCAGCTTGGATTCTGTCGAACGAGATGCGCGAGTCTCTGCGAGTCGCTGGTGGTTCAGGTTTTACTCCGTCGTTGGGGAAATAATTTCGGATGACTGGTGATGAGAAGACTGATTGATTGTTCTACAAATTGTTTATTATATGCTTGTGGTTTCTTTTTTTTACGTTTCAGGGATGAAGCAAGAGACGTGAAACAGGAACTGTTCACTATGGTTAGAGATCTCATGGAAAACTCTTCCCTCGGGGAATTTGAAGCACGTTTGGATCTCCTGCTGACGTTCCACTGTTACCTCACTTGGGCATTTTACTCGAAGGAAGACCGGTCAAGAGCCAGAAGTATAAATTTTTTTTAATTGTCAACGTAAAAGGATGATTTTTTCAAATTTTAAATCGCTTTCTTGTTGCTTTTTAAAGGCGAAATTGCCGCCAAGGTGCTGTGGAATATGCACAGCTATTACAGCGAACTCGCGCAAAAAATCCGAGTTCGTCTTGCGGATCTACGGAAGCCGATCGAAAAAGAATTGAAGGACTATGTTAAAATATGCCGCTGGAACGACCTGAATTTCTATGCCTTGAAACACGCGGTCGACAAATCGCACCGGACTCTGCACAAGAAAATTAAACAATTTCAGGTTATTTTCGATAACGAACGGGTTAAATATCAAGGAGTTATTTTTTAAACAAACGGTCTTCTTTCTGTGAGCAGAAAACGCTGTTGCAGCCAGTTGGGCCTTTTTTCACGGACGCTGCGCTTGTATCCGATGAATGGATTGATGACAGTGTCAAAGAGGTTAAGGAAAAACCAAAACAACGACGGAAATCGATGCCTAAATCCGAAGAGTCTGTCTCGATTCTTTCCGTGAAAAGCCAGCTTTTCTTGCCGCAGCAAATACTAAAAGTGAGAATCAGTTCTGCTGTGGATTCTTTCAAATTAGGACCTCAATTGGCATGGGTTTGCTCTATATTTCCATAATATTCTTTTTTTTTAAGGAATCTATTCGTGCTGAAGACGACCGTTTTAGAGCACATGTGGCGGCTGCTTTGAACGTTCCACTGGTGAATCTTGGGTCCAAGGTTCCTCGAATATGCAAGGCTGTGATTGGCAAGTCGAAAGCTTTTTCGAAAGTCGAAGAGCTTGATGCTTTCTGTGGTGCGATTATAGAAAGGTCGACGGAACTTGGAAAGCTGGAGGTGATTTGTCTTTTGAAGTTTAAATAGATTCTTATTTCGGTTTTCATGACCGATGAATGAGTGCCTCTATGCACGGAGACTTCGAATGCCTCGGATTATGAAAAAATTACCGACTTCACTTGCGGAGGGGAAAAATTGCATTTAATAACCTAATGATTATTCTTATCGACGTTCCCGCAACTCTTCAAAAATGAAATGGATACACTTCTAAGATGTACTTTTCGATATTTCTAACAAAGACCCTAGAAAATAGTTATAAAATGTGATTACATTATTCTCTTGTCTGATTTTTTCATTGTTTTCTGATGATCATATCGGTGATCTTAATTTTCCATGAATTTCCGTGAAAAAATCCAATAAAAATTTTGAAAAATGAAAAAACGGAAAAAATCCAGCGCCGCAAATCAAAATCGTGCAGGTCGCCTTATTTCCTAGGTTCCATTTTTAATTTGGGTATTATTATTCAAATGCACGAATTCTTCAATAACGATAATCGATTTCCGCCGTTATCTTAGTGATATTATTTTTTAAAATTCATTCAGAGCGATCTGCGTTAAATTTTTCAACGAGTGAGTTTCAGAAACTGTGTTCGTTAAACTTCTGCGGCAGAGATTTACTCCGGAAAGCATTTGATGCGAATTTTTTCCCATTTTCCCCGCGTGGATAATCCGAAGGTTACTGAGAAGGATAACGAGAAGCGGAAAGGACAAGTTCGGCATTTGCATCAGCTGAAAAGTCGAGCCTTGACTGACTTGTTCAAGAAATTGACAAAATCAGGACTGTCTCATCGACTAGGTCTCGTGTTGCAATCGAGCGAGAAAGATGAAAAAAGCGTAGACTGGGTGGATATCGATCCCATTGATGTCACCTCTGCTTTACAACAAGTTTCAAAAATGTACGTGCAATTTTAGAAAAGCTATTTCTGAAAAATAAGTTTGACAGACTCGATTTATCAATTTTAGGGAAAGCGACGAGGCTCTAAACTCCGTTTGGTTGGGAGTGAAGCAGTATTTGTTCCGGTCAGCGAAGCGCTTGGAATTGTTCGAAGCTGCTGTGGATAATCCCACAGATTGCACCAAGCAATTGGGAAATGCTGCTATCCCGAGATTCCGCGGATTCATTTATCACCTGAAGGTAAACACCGTAAAAAGTTAGGAAATCTAAATTATTTCCTCATTGCCGAAATCTTTTGCATTGTCGCAGCGTCTCGTGTTCACTGAAGCGAAATCACTTGCTGCGAAAGAAGCAGCTGTGTTGAAATTGAGGAAAGATGTTGACGATATTCTGAAATCTTTGGATGCCGACGGACGTTTGCCCGGACAGAACGCATCAATGAACGCAAAGGTTTGTTCCGTTAGTTTAATACTCTTGAATTTCTCGAGTGTGAGGGTTTCACAAAAACTTTACGAACTCACATCCCAATTTTTTTCTTGCCGTCTTCCAAATTTAGAAACGCTGGACGAAGTGCTTGGCGGAGCTTCTTTTAATTCTCAAACGCGCGAATCTTTTCTTGGACTCCGCACCTTCGTCGAAAGCCACGCCGTTGTCGCATAGCTTTGCTGCAAATCGTATTCTTGCTACGGGGGAAGTAGTTCTTCCAAGTGCAACTGTTTTGCCGCTTTTCAATTCTGATCGCAGCAGCGAAGCCTGGCAGCAATGCAAAAGCAAATTGGAGACTCTGATGAATGACTGCAATGAAGTTACCAAGATGCTGAGTAAAGTTGACGAAGATTCGTTGGTTGGACACGAGGAAGCTTCCGTTCTTGACCGAGTGCACAATGTCCTGAAGAGTCAAGTGATCCCTGGTTTAGCGAGAGTGACTGGAATGTTCGGCGAAGAAGATGGATCCGGTGTTTCGTATTCCGAAATGTTGCAATTTCGCCAGCGCTTGATCGAAATCGGACGAGCATACGAATCTATTGACGCTGAGAAACACGCGGATAATTTGGATTTCGTCGAACTCGAGACACGTGTGACGAATGTTTTAAAATCTGCGATGCTTGGATTGCAAGAAAGATTTAAGCGTGTGCTGACGACTGATCTTCCCGACAACGAAGCCATAACTGAGGTAGAAGACGAGGAGGACAGCGTTGAATTGGAAGATGGGCTTTTGATTAAAGCTCTCGGCGCCGACTTGGAAACTGAAGAGGAGAATTTGAGGTTGGAACAGGTGTCCGAGGCAGTGCAACGATTGAAGAACCTGTTGCAGCTCGGAGCTGATGAAGGAATCGGGGAAGCTTTGTGTGAAAAATTACGGTGGGTTTAATTCATTCTCCGCATTTAAGATGAGAATTTCACTCCGATGAATCTTGAGAAATTCGTATTGGCGCCTGAGGAAAACTGAGCGGGTGTTAGCGCCATCTGTGAAAAAGAATAAGAACTGTCTTTCTTCCCAATTCACGTGTTGACGATGGTGCACATTATTGTATGGCTTTTTTCAGGTCTGCGGCGGATTTGTTCGTCACGGTACAATGTCATTTGTCGTTGACGAACTTCGACTTCCACGTGAGAATAGGATCTCTGCGAACGAAGGCCAAGCTTCTTTCGATTCTTTCGGGATTGTTTGCTCAGCTCGCAGTGAAGGTATGTTCTCTCTATGCCTTTAGAATTTTCCGGGAAGACTGAAAAAGAGAGACGTGTTAATTTGTGGTCGGGTTTTTTTTTTTTTTCGTCAGGGTTTCTGTTTGCCGGCGGAGGAGATTGAAGATGAGACATCCGCTCCCGGCGAAAGCTCGTCGAAACTGAAGGACTTGGAAGATGCTGGTCTCGGGGATGGCGAAGGGACGAAAGACGTTTCAGATAAAATCGAGTCTGAGGACATGTTGGAAGACGCGAAACGGCCCGAGGATTATGAGAATGACGAAGCTAATCAAGATCTCGAGGTTTGTTTCTTTTCTTTCCCCGTGAAAATAATGAAGAGTTTGTGATTTTGATATCTTATAACGATGGTGTGGTTGTAAATTTGATTTCAGTCTATTCAATGTCTGTCGTATCAGGTTAAATCAGTTGCCTTTGATGAGGTCCGTGATTCAGGAGACACCTTTTCAACTTTCCAGATGTGACCCAAAAAAAAAGACAGTGTCTTTGAATAACTGAAGGACACTGTTAAATTTAAAAAATTTTATAATATCCTCGTGATTGAAAATTTCTCGCGTGCGCGTTGATTTCCGTCAAAATAATATTTTAATTTTGCGTCGAGTTTTCTCAAATACAAGGACTATCTGCGAGTATGAGTTCCTCATTGTCAAACGGAAAACTTGTTTCGTTAGAAGAACAATTTCGCTTCAGTTTGAAAGATTACCCTGTGTTTTGATGCATTTGTTTTCAATTTTGACACGTTTTACAGCAAGAAGAAGGTGGGATCGAAATGTCCGACGACTTCCAAGGCAAGATGCAGGACGTGGACAAAGGAGAAGACGAAGAAGAAAAAGGAGAGGAAGACGGACAAGACGAGGAAGATCTCGACAAGCAAATGGGGGAAACTGGACAGGAAGCAGACAAGCTAGATGAGCAGGTGAATATTCACTTCCATCTCACTTGAAATCTTTCGTATTCTCATTGTGGGAAACCCTTTATGCTCAGATATGGGGTGATGACGAAGAAGAAGAAGAAAATGAAACCGAACAAGAGCCGAAGAAAGAAGACAAGGGAAAAAGCTCTGGAAAGGCGGAAGACACAAAAACTGTGGCCAAGGATCCCGGTGTGGCAGACGATGAAGATGAAACTCAGGAAGACGACGAACAAGCTCCAGAGTCAAAGAAGAAGCACAAGGAACCGGACGTTGACGAAGACGTGAATGACGATCACGATGATCCTTATCATGGTAACGTTAAGCCGGATGCCCCAGTTTTTTTCCGATAAATTAATTTTTTTCTCCTTGGTTAATTACGCAGCGAATCCCCCTGAATATCCGGCTCCGGAAGATTTCGAAATGAACGAAGATGCCGTCGGGGATGACGAGAAACGCGGTGACGGATCCGACGAGGAGGACAACGCTGATGAGGAAATGAAAGAAGAAGAAAATCCTTTCGATTTGGATAAACTCAAAGGTTTTCGCTTGTTTCCATTTTTATTTATATTAAAATAGTACTCCTGTTACCACGTGAACCAAAACAAGGCGCTCGCCCTAAATGAAAAAATTCATGTTATGTTTCTGGGGCAAGAAAAGGAAGAGACGAAATGCAATATTGTAACTATGGTTTGTTTTAGAATCATGATGCATCGTCGAAAGTTTTAAATTTTGTCCTTTTCAGAGTTTTAACATTGAATTGCTGATTGTTTTGAATGTTGTAGTGACAAAGAATTTTTATGACTTCGTCAATTGAACCTTTATTTATTAGACAAGCAACAGCAGAAGGGAGAAGACGATGACCAGCAAGAGGCTGAAGGTGAAGAAGGTGCGTTGGACAAGCCCGAAGACGAGGCGAATCCCGACAATCAAGACAACGAGGGCGAGGAACAGAACATAACTGAAGAACAAGATCTTCCTCCTGAAGAGCGGGACGCACAAGAAGAGGAGGGCGAAGGTTCGTTCGTGAAATTGAGCAGCGCATCGTCTCATATAATGATCAATGTGTTTTTTTTTTCGCGTCTTCTTCTCAGGTCAAGATTCAGGAAACACTGATCTCGGGCAGCCGGAAAAGGAAGAGGAAAAACGGAAGGATGAGCCCGAGAAGAACCAAGAAGACCAGGAAGAGACTGGTGTGAGCTCCCTTGATGATCCGAGCAAAGCGGCTGCTCAGCCAGCGCCTTCAGATGCCAAAGGCGGTTCCCAGGATGACATCGCCCCACAGGAAGCTGAACATGATGAGAAAACTGCTGAAGAAGTGAGTACTTCAATTTGTCTGACGCTTTTCTCGAAGAAGTAATGTATTGTTTTAAACCCTGTCTCTCCTCTGAGAGTGACATTTACGCAAATAACCGAATCTCGAGGTACTGTATCCCAAAAAATTAAATACTATATCACATTGTATGGAAGAAAACAAAAAAAACCTGTGAAAAATTTCCAGTCGGAAATAAATCGAAAAATTAATCATTCCAGGGCTAGCATGAAATTAAAATTGAACTACTGTACAGAACTTTTATTCTGAACTCGGAAACTTGAGCACCGACGACAAAGCCAATGTTTAGTGATGAATAACGACATTTCCAACGCATCATCCAAAGATTTCAAGAGCAGCTGTTCTCAACGAAAATTCATTGCTACTTGGAAATCGTAGTCTCAATCCTCCATGGAAAATACTGTAATCCATTGCTGAAAGTGCAAAAATCGAGCACCTTTTTCGCCTGGAAAAATAGTTCTAAAAAAAAAACGATCCAAACGTCTGGAATCTGGCACCGGGCAAGATGAAAATTAAATTAACTGACCTAAAATTTTGAAACTTTCTTTTCCGTGACGAATGCGATTCAACATCCTTAATCCAATATTTCACGTAACTATTCCGCATTTCCTATGCTCAAAAATCTTTTGATTGATCTAAGTTTTGGTCCACCCTTTTCGGTTGTTTGCTGTCTGACTTTTCGCTCTGGTTTTGGTGCAATTAAAATACAGTGGAAGTGGAACCTCTTCAAGTCGAACTTCAAGGGACCAGCAAAAAGTTCGAGTTGGGGAAACAAGCCTTTTTTTTGTGACAAAGGAAGAAAAATTACAGGAAATTTTAATCGTGATATTTTGGGTTTTAAATTCCTTCTTGAATGAGTTGACAAGATGCTGAACTTTGTGACAAGGTTCTTTTGCCCAATTTAATCTTTCACTTCCTTTCAAAACGCATCAAATTACTTCGTTATTGCTTTTCTCTTTCCAGAGCCAATAAAATATACTGCGGTATATTATTAGGTATTCGACTTGGGGAGGTTTGAGTTGTTGAGGTTCATCTGCGCAGTGAAGAACTGCATGTTACTGATAATTTAATAAAAGATCGTCTGCTAAAATTATTTTTTTTAATGACTGACACGCTCCCATTTTCTGCGGTTGATAAAAACGGTTTAATTTCCGATGTAATTTTTTCTTATTGTAGCTGGCGCAACACGACAAGGAAGGAAAACAAGAAAAGGACGCCATCGGCGCCTCGGAAATGGAACGAGGAGCCGGCCATCGAGCAGAAAGTCAATCCTCGAGAGTGAAGAACGAAACTAAGGAGACCGAAGAACGGGCAGAATCCAAACCCGACAATAAAAAGCGGAAGCCAGGAAAAATTGACGAAAAACGCACTATGGGTCAGCATCAGCAAATTTTAATTATTATTTTTTGAATGTTTTGAAGAGAAGTTGAATATGAATTTTTACGACGACAGGATCTGAAGAAGAAAAGGCGAGACGAGACGTGATGAATTTGCAGGAAGAAAGGAAACAGGCTCCGGAAGACGGTCGCGAAAAGCAAAGACCGCAGGATCATGACGCTGATATTTCTGAAGGCTTTGAACACGTTCAAAACGAAGACGAAAAGGCGGACGGACAAATTGTCGACGCAGCTACGGAAGAGCAGGCCGCCGAAAGACCTGCTCCTGTCAATGAAAAGGTTGAAGACGAAGCAGATGCCGAAGAAATGGAAGACGTTGTCATGGCCGAACCAGGTTCGAATTACCATTCGACGTTTTCGCGGGGCCAACACTCATCGTTATAAATTTATATCATTATTATTCCCACGCATCAAGCACCTGCTTTGCACAGGGAAAAAAATTGGCACATTTTCCCCTCAAAAGCAGAGTGAAATTCTGGTGGACTTACTCAAGTCAAAATTCTTCTCAAGTCAAATTTCCCAAGAAATCCTGGCCAATCCGCTCAAGACTCGCGTTTTAAACCCCTCTAAGCGAAATTGTCGGTCTAATTTTCCGTTTATCAAATTTCCAAGGCCTTCGACCCTAATTGTGGAACACCTGTTTCAGAAAATTAAGAATGCAAAATATGAATTAATTTCTTATTGATTTTTTTTCATGATTATACAGCAAATTATCCTTACAACGAAGCGTTTTGGAATGTTATTTTAATTTCTTTTAACGGATTTTCGTTTACAACTAAGCCCTTTTTCAAGGTGCCAACTGGCTTAGTTGTAAAATTAGTTCCAAGAAAATTGAAATAACATTGTCGATACCGCTGGTTGGGGACCGAAACAAAAAATTAGTTGTAAGCCTTAATTTGTTTTGAGATTTGTTGTAACCAGAGTCTATTGTGTTGAATAACTTAGGATATCGAAGAATAATGACCAATTCTAGTACATTGGACAGAAGAAATTCACCTTTATATATAACTCGTACAAACTGAGAAATCTGCAAAAAAAGAAGCATTTGCAAATCTAAGGAATCACAAGCAAAGGGAAAGAAAGGAGTATTGTGCTCAGAACGCTTTGCAATTTTGGGTTCTCTTTTTTCCACCGTGAGTTGAAATAATAAACTCGGAGGGTTATCATCGTAAAATATTAACAATAATTAGTGGGAGGTGGAACTGCTGCGTCAGACTTGAAATTGTTGTCATCTTTGTGTCGGTGTCAATCTTCATTATCTTGTTGAACTGCTGTACTTATATAATTCATTCATCATCGAGTTGAAGAAGTGTTGACGGTGTTTGTTTCAGTTTAAAATGGACGTTGATTTTCGATTTCTCCGTTTTCCCTTTTAAAGACTATAGAAATGTTCTTGTTTCTCGTAGAACCGGAAATAGAAGACGCCTCTTCAAAACTCAGCGAAGAGAAAACTCCTGCCGATGAAAAGAAGAAGAAAGGTGACAAAGATGAGCCTGGGACTAGGAACAAAACCCTTGACAATAAAGAAGCCGTGGAAACCCCCGGGGACGTTGTGCCAACTCTTACCGTTCAGCGAGGTTTTGAGACAGACGCTTTCACAAAGGAAGAATTGATTCATGGAGATCGTGAACGACTGGATGCGCTAAAACTGAAGACGCTGTTGGCAAGCGAGGCTCACAATTGGCATCAGGTTTGCTGGCAACTCAAAATTTTGTGTATCAGGGCTATATTATGTACAGTATTTGACCTAAATCACTCACAAAGTTCAATATACAGTACATACAGCATACAGCTTAACTCGAAAGTTGATGAGATGGAAATTGATGGAAAAATTGTGAAAAAATGATCACATCGGCAGTAATATTCCTGTCCGTGTTTCTTAACAATTTTATGGCCAAGAAAGTGTCAGTAATTTTCTGCTTACTCATTGGTTACCTTTGCATGATAATTTTTTTGCAATGGACTCACTTGAAAGTTTTATGGACAGGTATACCTGTCAGAGTATCAGGGGTTGGGGAACGCGACTGTTCTATACATTATGCTAAAGAAGTTATAATCTGTTGAGGATTTCATAAATAAAAACCGTGCTTGTGAGAAAATTGTAATCTGCGTGATATACCTAGAATAAAATGTGATCCTCATTGATAATAAAATAAAATCTTTTACAAATTTTGATGCCCAGCTGTTGCTGGGCACCTTCAGTTTTTTTCCAATTAAGATCACTAAAAAAATAAAATGTACCCAACATAATCCATGTATGGCTTTTGTACCAAATTTTTCATAATGTCATTCAACGATTTTTACCCAACTATGCCATGCACCATGTATATTGGTACTTGTTTGAATACAGTAATCGAGTATCCCGCATTGTTTTGTCAAACCTTGTTACCTTGAACATCTTGTAACATAAACATTTACAAACCAAGCTTTACTCTTCTTTACCTGAGTTGTATTAAAAAAGACGCACTTTTTTTTAGAAAATATATTCGGTCTAGACAGGCAGAGGTGGCATTATTGTGAAAGAGGAACGATTCCAGTGATCATGATCTCTCTATATTAATACTGTACATCTTCTTTGACTGGGGAAAAACAATCTTGTAGCTCATCTTGATGGTTGATCTCCAAGCTGGAGAATCTTGCTTGAGGCCAGTTTAAATTTCGTGCCTTGGAGAACCTTTCTTCCCCCGTGTGCAGAATAAGTTTCGCACGAAATAAAGATTTTTGCAATTCATATTTTCCACTTCAGCACGTGGAAGGACAGGATGCGGTGGACGAATTAGAGGCAGAACAGACTTGGAGAACGCTGGAAAACGAAATCGGTCCTTTGGCGCAGACATTGTGCGAGCAACTGAGGTTGATTCTGGAACCTTCTCTGGCTGCGAGACTTCAAGGCGACTTCCGGTCTGGGAAACGACTCAACATGAGAAAGGTACGGTGTTGAAATCTGGAACTCTGACTAAACTCAATTGCGGTACCTTCAGATTTCCTCCTTCCTTTTGTTTGAATACCAAATTTGGCAGTTTTACTTGCTCGAGACGGCTGTGAATCTGGTATCCTTGATCAGTTTGAGATTTTTCGAATCGTTGCTGTTGAAATTTCAACGAATACAGATCCAAGAAAAATGATTGTTGAAGAGGAAAATGAACATGATTTTTAAATTCGCTTCGCACTTGATAGCATATCATAAACTTCGAAAAATACGTGTATGCCAAAATTAAAAAAAAGCTCAACCTCTGCAATCTTATAAACGTTTGTCAAATTATGAGTATTTCCTCAAGCTTTTCGACTGGCGGAACTCTTCAGAAAGTAGTATTTCGTATAACGGAGTCTATGAGGCTCAGTTTAAGTTCCAAGTTTGCATTCACGTCATGCATTGGACGTGAAATTTATGAAATTTCATTCCTGTATAAAGCACTTGTGATTGTCAACACATATCCGCAACTTAATTAATGAAAACAATCATCAACATATTAAAGTATGAGTTATTTATCTGTTAAACTGCTGGAAGTAAGACAGGAATGTTCATTCGAATATGAATTTTTCTTTAAGAACCCCAGATTGAGATATTCTTATAAGTCTTATTCTGCCTTAAAAATAATTGATCTCTTCGTCAAGTGGCTGTTTTCTGTTCAACTGTGTGCTTTTCCACAAAATGCAAGAAGACGCGTTGAAGAAAGCTCATACGGTCTTCGCGATGCGTTCAAGAGGCGCTTTTTGCCATGATTATCATACTGTGATTAGAAACACAATGCTGTACTTCATTATTTTTTCTGTTTAGATCATCCCTTATGTTGCGAGTGGATTCAGAAAGGACAGGATCTGGCTGCGAAGAACGAAGCCGTGGAAGCGTCACCATCGGGTCGTGATCGCCGTGGACGACTCGGCGAGTATGAAGGTGGCTGGGGCGTCGGCCATGGCCCAGGCGTCCCTGGCCCTCATTGCCAAGTCCCTGACGCTGCTCGGCCTGGGCGAGAACCAATTGTCCGTCATGTCCTTTGGAGACAGAGTCCGGGTCTTGCATCCCTTTGCTGACACTTTCTCTGAAGCCAGTGGTGCCAAGTGGGTATCTTTGCCAAAAAATTGTCAAAATTAATGTCCGAAATTATTACCAAATGTCTGCCGTGGATCGGTCTCAAGTTTGCGTTTCATTTCTAGTTTATCGAGTATGCTGTTTATTATGCTTTCACAAAGACATTTACCTTCAGTAATTTGAGTTGTTTCCGGTAAAATCTACGCTGCTGTGCTTGATGGTTTGATTTTCCCCCTTTTTTGTCAACCCAAGAATGGGTTTTTTCTGTTGCATTCAAGTGTTCAAATTACGATAGTTGAACTTCTACTTTAAAATGTATTGTATTCAAATTATGGTGCAGTTTTGTTTTGTTGAACGTGTGTATCTTGGAACAGTTCGTAACATGAATATCTGCAAGATAAGTTTTGATTCCTTGTGCTCAAAGTTGTATAGAAAAGTGTATGCTCTCCTTGTAAAAGATCAGTGCTGTGTGTAAGTATATACAGTGTATTTTTGTTTGTATACAATCAAAAGACAGTCAATTTGGCCGCTGGTTAAGCCACTTATTTGAATCAAATTCTCTAAAACAAAAATGAACCATATAAGATGAGGAACATTTTAGTTGCTTCTTTGGACCAAAACTCTGTTTAATTGGACCAAAGAAAGTTCACCCATTCCTTGAAATCTTTTTCAAGAGGGGAAAACTTAATGTCACCACAGTGTGACATTTTCATCACATGCCAAAATGGTGTCACGCTCTTTGAAAATTCAAGGTGTGTGTTAAATTTCTTTGGTCCAAATAAGTGGCTGGTCCCATGGACCGGTGGTGGTCCAATTGACCAACTTATTTGACTGTATATATATTTATACATATTCCAATGAATAACTCCAGTCTTATTTGCAGCAGTATAACAGATGAGAAACACATACTCTAATAGGTTAATGATTGTAGTCATTGGGTAATTTGTGGATATGTGTTGGCAATCACAAGTGCTATTTAGTCAATCATTCCAGAGAAGGTTGTGAAGGAAGTACAATAGCATTGCAAAATGCATTAGTTATCCACTTCTAGTTCAAATGTTGTTTAAACAGCCAGAGTTGGTGTCATTGTGAAATGAAAGAGTCCAGTGATTTCGCTTCCAATAAATTTTTTTGGCAGTTCGCAATTGGAATGTACAAGGAAGGTTCTATACCTCTTATTTGAATCCCTGTTGGTGTGCAATTGAGAAAAGGCGTAAAACCTTTCCCATAGTGATACTCAATCTTTCATGTCTTTTGAAATCATGAATGTGCGATGCTTGGAAATATTTGTGGAAGACAAATAATATGT